AAAGAAATATTAGATAGTTTCTAATTAATAGTGACTTCATTTCATTTAATTTGACATTTTCAGTAAGTAATCTGTTTTTCTTTTAGAGGAATGAGGGTTCTATATCTGGAATCATTCTAATGAAATTAAACTCAGTTTGTTTCAAATGAATTGGAAGTGCTCAAGTATTAATTTTAATTCCAATGTTTTAAATTCCTTGCTGAATTTAAGTGGTGTCTAGAGTTGCTAATTTAATACTACTCATTTACTTGTCAGCTAGCGTACATAAATAAAACTCTGGACTTTATTCTCCTGTGGCTCTGGTCTCACTTTGAAGTGCATTCTCTGTTGACAAACTGGAATAGGATGGGATTAAGACCTGACCTTAATAGAAGGTGTGAATGGAGCCTCTCACTTGGTTTCCTTGAGGACATGTTTAAGATTCGGCTTTAGAACCAGGCATGAACCAGGTCACCCTCTTTGTTTGCTGTGGATATATACTTGTACTGCCATGGTCTTCATCTCATCTGGACAAACAGACCTCGATTTCCTGACTGAGTCTTGGTGGAAACAAAAGTACTCACTGTGAGTTGGGGGTATTGTTTAAGTTCTGGATCAGACCCTCCATGTGGCTCACCCTTGCCTGACCTTTAGATTTTGGATGGTCGGGACTCACTATCATGTGAGGCAGTTCCTCAAAATTTCATGAGTTTCTAAATGACACTACAATGATTCACAGAACTGAGAAATGTGAAGAAATGTACTCAAGCAAAAAGCAGAAATTAAATGGAGCTAACCAGCATTATGGAAGAGCTGGACATTTGGAAGACCATTAGTTCTCAACTCCTCGCAACTGCAGCGACATTTATTCTTCTAAAATAGATTATTACCATACATGTTATGTTGTCATTGCAATGAATTATTAAGCCCACCATAGATAAAGGGCTACTGGAGGAATGGTTAGTATGAAAACAGGGAAGAGAAGGATGCAAAGGGGTGGCATGCCTGGCTCCTGCAGACAGAAGAGGTCAGAGATAGCCTCCAATTGTATTGATGGCATTACTTTAATCTTTCAGAGCTGTATAGAAAACATGCCCATGAATCTTTCTATTAAAATTCTGACTAACTCACTATTCTCCCCAACAATGACAGCATCAGTCTATCAAAACTGTAGTCTCTGCCTAGCCACTGTCCAATATCTTTGCTTTTTTAATATGACAAACACAACCCTTGTCCCAATTTCAAACATAAGTAATTCTTCAGGCAGCGACATTATTCTTTTTAAGTGTCTGTGCTTGTATGTCAAGCTTTATATTTGTAAAACTAAAATGATTGCTGCACATGAGATATGGTGTGTGGGATCATCCCTAGTTATAAGCTGAAGCTTATAGGCTAAAGATTTAATGTTTCTTCATAAGAATATATTCCTCTATTTTTGTTTGCCTTTCGTCTACTTCCAGAGCTCTGAAAATAGTCTGATATGCTTCTTTTTAAAACAGTTTTGTTAACGTTTCTATTTGCACTTGCACAGAATTGCCTACCTCTTCATATAACCATAAGTTTTCCTTCTCTTATAATATTGGGCATATTTAGATAATTATGAAATCACCAGATTAGGTAGGAAAAAAGTTCAGAAAGTATTCTTCCTTTTGATATTGCAATATGTTTTTGTTTTTCACTAAGTTACTCATTAAACAATCTTTCTGGTATTTGTCAGAGTGTGTTTGAATTTAAACTGAAGACATTCACTAGTGTTTTAATGCTTACATGATTTTGTATGAGGCCAACTCAATTCAGTATACCAAAATTTGAGAAAAATAAGATTCAAACTACAATACCACAAGTATAAAGGAAAACTTGGATTTAAGGTTAAAAAAATGGATGGACTACAACCTGAATGAAGTCTGTTAATATTCTAAAAAATAAAAGAAAAATTGTAATATTTATATTATCCATAACATTCATAATGCAGTGAAAAATTATTCACCATGTAGGTAATAAGACTTAAAATACACAGATGTTCAATCAAAGGGTTTTTAAAAGAGAATATATTTAGATATTATAAAACAGCAACAACAAACATATATTTACAATAAATGAAAAAATCTAAATTATCCATGTTGTTGTATGCCATCGAGTTAATTCCAAACCTTAGCAACCTTATGCACAGCAGAAAGAAACGGTTCTTGGTCCCATGCCATCTTCACAAGTGTTCCCATGCTTCAGCCCATTGCTGCAACCTCTGTGTCACTCATGGAGTGCCTTCCTTTTCTCTGCTCGTTTGCCAAGCATGATGCCCTTCTCCAGGGACTGATCTCTCCTGACAACGTGTTCAGAGTATGCAAGATTAAGTCCAGCAATCCTTGATTTTCAGCAACGCTTACTCTAAAGTAAACATGTTTGTCATTTTGGCAGTCTGCGACACTTTCAATATTATTCATCAGCACCATAATTGAAACAAAATAATTTTTCTTCAGTCTTCCTTATTCAATGTTCTACTTCCACATGCCTAAATGAGAAAATACCATGGCTTAGGTCGGGAGCACCTTTATCCTCAAAGTAACTCCCTGTTTTAAAAGATTCTAAAGAGGGCTTGTGCAGCAAATTTACCCAAAACTGCAAAACACCTCTTTGATCTCTTGACTGCTGTTTTCATTAGCACTGATTATGGACCTAAGCTAGACAAAATCCTTGACATCTTCAATCTTTTCTCCACTTATTGTGTTGTTACTTATTTGTCCACTTGTAAGGGCTTTTGTATTAATGATGTTGAGTTGTAATCCATACTGAAGGCTGTAATTCTTGATCTGCATCAGCAAGTATTTCAAGTCCTCCTCATTTTCAGCAAACAATGTTGTATCATCTGAATATCACTGATAGTTAAAACCCTTCCCCCGATCCTGATGCTGCATTCTTTTTCATATCATGCATCTGCTCAGCATACAGATTAAAGAAGTAGGTGAGAAGAATCAACCCTAGCACATGCAGTGACATGTGATTTTAAACTATGATGCGGTTCTCTGCTTCCTCCAGTCAATTCGTGAGGTCTGTGTTTCTGCTATGGGTTTTGTTATCTCCTCCCTAACCTCCTGTATTTCCTTTTGGTGTATGGCCTTTATCTCCTCTATCATTTCATCCTTTTTCTGTATTGTTTCCCTCATACCCTGTATGACTCCAAGCAGCATTCTGAAATTTTCTTTCTGTGGCAGCTCAATGTCTGCTTCTTCTATGCATGTCGTTATGTTCGGGACATCTTCTGCCATTGCCTTTTTTTTTCTCCTGCTTTTTCGTTGAGGTCACTGGGGCTGATGGCTGTTTGTGTTGCATTATTTTAGAGGAGCCAGGTGCCATTTTCCAGGGAGTCAAAGAGCACGGCCTCTCTCTGGGAGACTTGTAGGAATGCTTCTTCGAACTGCCTACAACCAATTTCACTATGGAATTAACCTACCACTTTATCCTCCTGTGGCTTCCCTCTCAGGGGAATGCCTCAGAAGGCTGAAAGGTTGCCTGCTTTGGTGTTGTGGAGGTTGGGCAGAGGTTCCTGCAGCAGCTTGGAACATTGACGAGTGTTGGCCTAGCTGCCTTAGGCCCCCAGGCACACAGGCAAGAATTCCCAGGTAAGAAGTTGGGGAGAGTATCCCCTGGTGGAGGGCAGCAGGGCTTTCCCCAGCTTCAGGCTAGCTGCACAGGGTGGAGCTAACCTAGCTGGGTGAGGTGCAGACATAAATGCCCTAGGCTAAGGGGAGTGGTCTGGAGGTCAGCAGTGGAGTGTGAGAGAACAGGAAAGAGACAAACAGGGGGAAAATTTTAAAAAGTAAGCCCGCTGGGACTGTGCGGGGGATATAGAAAAGAGAGGAAAACAAAAGTAACAATGTAGCTGAGCCACAATCCCTGCCCGTGGAGCTGCAATGATTTAGTCCCTGCCCTGAGGCAGTGGCAAGCTGTGGCTGTGTTGAGAAAAAGCCCCTGTGCAGCCCTCCAAGACAGTGGGGGGATAGAGAAGAGAGGGAAACAAAAGTAATAATGTAGCTGAACCCCAATCTTTGCCTGTGGGGCTGTAAGGGTTTAGCCCCTGCCCCAAGGCGGCAGCAAGCTGTTGCTGTGTTGAGATTAAACCTCCCCATGAGCTCCAAATGGTCCCGGCTCTAGCAGAGACAGTGGCAAGTTTAAGGTCAAGCCTTAGCTGGCCTCCACTGCGGTGAGCCAAAATCCCCAGCACCTCAAAACCTCGTGGGTCTGTGCTTACTTATCTTTATGATGCTCCTCCTGTGGTCCAGCAGTGTTGAATTTCCCTCTAAGAAACTCTCCTGGGCTGAATTCTGCAGATTCCCTCTGGTATGTGTTGCTCCGTTGACATCTTCCCGGAAGTCTCTTCCTCAATGCTGACATTCTCAGACATTACTATTTTAGCAGGTCCTGGGTGATATGGTGAGGTAGCAACCCCTTAAGACAGGTAACCTGTACCACTGCTGGCTCCAGGCAGATTCTCAGTGATGCAGGTGATAAGAGGTAGTCAGGAGCTGCCACCACCGCATGCTCCAAAACGGAGCCGCTGCTGCCACGCTCTCCAAAACGAAAGGCCTGTTTTTAATCACTTAAAAAATGTGTTTTTTTTTTTAAATCATTTTGATTGGTGCTACATCAACAAATGAAGATCTTAAGGCTCCACTCCCACAGGCCTTACCCCATTCCACTCATCATCGTCATCTCTCTTTGAGAAAGTAGCTCCTCCTCAGTGACATTAGAGTGCTTTCTCACTGGTGAGACCTATCCTCCATCACTATATCCCACAACATTTTGCTTCCATTCCTTAGGCCTTCAGTATCTGACAATGTTTTGATGTTATACATAAGATTTCCTGTGACTACTTCCTCTGATAAGCAGCTGATTCCTTCTTCATAGCCTCTTCTTAAT